CCATTCTTCTGTCGATGGGCATTTAGGTTGCTTCCATGACCTGGCTATTGTAAATAGTGCTGCAGTGAATATTGGGGTGCATGTGTCTTTTTGAATTATGGTTTTCTCTGAGTATAAGCCCAGTAGTGGGATTGCTGGGTCACATGATAGTTCTATTTGTAGTTTTTTAAGGAACGTCCATACTGTTCTCCATAGTGGCTGTATCAATTTACATTCCCACCAACAGTGCAAGAGTGTTCCCTTTTCTCCACACCCTCTCCATCATTCGTTGTTTGTAGATTTTCTGATGATGCTCATTTTAATTGGCGTGAGGTGATACCTCATTGTAGTTTTGATTTGCATTTCTCAAATAATTAGTGATGTTGAGCAGCTTTTCATGTGCTTCTTGACCATCTGTATGTCTTCTTTGGAGAAATGTCTGTTTAGTCTTATGCGCATTTTTTGATTGGCTTGTTTGTTTTTTTTAATATTGAGCTGCATGAGCTGTTTATATATTTTGGAGATTAATCCTTTGTCCACTGATTCGCTTGCAAATATTTTCTCCCATTCTGAGGGTTGTCTTTTTGTCTTGTTTGTAGTTTCCTTTGCTTTGCAAAAGCTTTTAAGTTTCATTAGGCCCCATTTGTTTATTTTTGTTTTTATTTCCATTACTCTGGGAGGTGGGTCAAAAAAGATCTTGCTGTGATTTATGTCAAAGAATGTTCTTCCTGTGTTTTCCTCTAAGAGTTTTATAGTGTCCAGTCCTACATTTAGTTCTCTAATAAATTTTGAGTTTATTTTTGTGTATGGTGTTAGGGAGTGTTCTAATTTCATTCTTTTACATATAGCTTGTCCACTTTTCCCAGCACCACTTATTGAAGAGACTGCCTTTTCTCCATTGTATATCCTTGCCTCCTTTGTCTTAGATTAGTTGACCATAGGTGCATGGGTTTATCTCTGGGCTTTCTATCCTGTTCCATTGATCTATATTTCTCGTTTTTGTGCCAGTACCATATTGTCTTGATTCCTATAGCTTTGTAGTATAGTCTGAAGTCAGGGAGTCTGATTCCTCCAGCTCCGTTTTTTTCTCTCAAGACTCCTTTGGCTATTCGGGGTCTTTTGTGTCTCCATACAAATTTTAAGATTTTTTGTTCTACTTCTGTAAAAAATGCCACTGGTTAATTTGATAGGGATTGCATTGAGTCTGTAGATTGCCTTGAGTAGTATAGTCATTTTCACAATATTGATTCTTCCAATCCAAGAACATGGTATATCTCTCCATCTGTTTGTGTCATCTTTGATTTCTTTCATCAGTGTCTTATAGTTTTCTGCATACAGGTCTTTTGTCTCCCTAGGTAGGTTTATTCCTAGGTATTTTTTTCTTTTTGTTGCAGCGGTAAACGGGGAGTGTTTCCTTCATTTTTCCTTCAGATTTTTCATCATTAGTGTATAGGAATGCAAGAGATTTCTATACATTAATTTTGTATCCTGCAACTTTACCAAATTCATTGATTAGATCTAGTAGTTTTCTGGTGGCATCTTTAGGATTCTCTATGTATAGTATCATGTCATCTGCAAACAGTGACAGTTTTACTTCTTCCTTTCCAATTTGTATTCCTTTCATTTCCTTTTCTTTTCTGATTGCCATGGCTAGGACTTCCAAAACTATGCTGAATATAAGTGGCGAGAATGGGCATCCTTGTCTTGTTCCTGATCTTAAAGGGAATGCTTTCAGTTTTTCACCATTGAGTGTGATATTAGCTGTGGGTGGCCTTTATTATGTTGAGGTAGGTTCCCTCTATGCACACTTTCTGGAGAGTTTTTATCATAAATGGTTGTTGAATATTTTTTAAGGGGTTTTTATTTATTTTATTATTATTATTTTTGGCTGCATTGGGTCTTCATTGCTGCGTGCAGGCTTTCTCTAGTTGTGGTGAGCGGGGGCTACTCTTCGTTACAGTGCACGGGCTTCCCATTGTGGTGGCTTCTCTTGTGGAGCGTGGGCTCTAGGCACGTGGGCTTTAGTAGTTGCAGCATGCAGGCTCAGTAGTTGCAACACATGGGCCCTAGAGTGCGCAGGCTTCAGTAGTCATGGAGCATGAGCTCAGTAGTTGTGGCACATGGACTCTAGGGCCTGTGGGCTCCAGTAGTTGTGGCACACGGGCTCAGTAGTTATGGCTCGCAGGCTCTAGAGCGCAGGCTCAGTAGTTGTGGCACATGGACTTAGTTGCTCTGCGGCATGTGGGATCTTCCCAGCCCAGGGATTGAACCCGTGTGCCCTGCATTGGCAGGTGGATTCTTAATCACTGTAGCTTTTTTCTGCATCTATTGAGATGATCATATGGTTTTTATTCTTCAGTTTGTTATGTGATATATCACATTGATTGATCTGTAGATATTGAAAAATCCTTGCATCCCTGGGATAAATCCCACTTGATCATTGTTTATGATCCTTTTAATGTTAGAGTTGGTTTGCTAGTATTTTGCTGAGGATCTTTGCATCTATGTTCATCAGTGATATTGGCCTGTAATTTTCTTTTTTTGTGATATCTTTGCCTGGTTTTTGTATCAGGGTGATGGTGGCCTCATAGAATGAGTTTGGAAGTGTTCCTTCCTCTGCAATCTTTTGGAATAGTTTTGGAAGGATGGATGTTAACTCTTCTCTAAACGTTTGGCAGAATTGACTTGTGAAGCCATCTGGTCCTGGACTTTTGTTTGTTGGGAGCTTTAAAATTACTGACTTAATTTCAATACTGGTAATTGGTCAGCTCATATTTTCTACTTCTTCCAGGTTCAGTTTTAGGTGATTGTTTCTTTCTAAGAATTTGTCCATTTCTTCTAGCTTGCGTATTTCATTGGTGTATAGTTGCTTGTAGTAGTCTCTTACAATCCTTTGTATTATATTTCTGTGCTGTTGGTGGTAACTTCTCTCTTTTCATTTCTGATTTTATTGATTTTGGTTATCTCCCTTTTTTTTTTTTTAAGATTTATTTATTTTTGGCTGCATCAGGTCTCAGTTGCAGCATGCAGGATCTTCGTTGAGGAATGTGGGATCTCTCTACTTGTGGCGTGCGAGTTTTCTCTTCTCTAGTTTTGGCGCATGGGTCCAGGGCACCTAGGCTCTGTAGTTGTGGGGCGCGGGTTCCAGAGCACGTGGGCTCTGTAGTTTGTGGCATGAAGGCTCTCTAGTTGAGGCATGAGAGCTCAGCAGTTGTGGCACACGGGCTTAGTTGCCCCATGGCATGTGGGATCTTCGTTCCCTGACCAGGGATTGAACCCATGTCCCCTGCATTGTAAAGCGGATTCTTTACCACTGGACCACCAGGGAAGCCCCTCCCTTTTTTTCTTGATGAATCTGGCTAAAGTTTATCAATTTTGTTTATCTTTTCAAAGAACCAGCTTTTAGTTTCATTGATCCTTTCTATTGTTTTTTAGTCTCTATTTCATTTATTTAGCCTCTGATCTTTATGGTTTCTTTCCTTCTACTCACTTTGGGTTTTGTTTATTCTTCTTTCTCTCTGCTTTAGGTGTAAATTTAGATTTTTCATTTGCAATTTTTCTTGTTTCCTGAGGTAAGCTTGTATCAGTGTAAACTTCCCTCTTAGAACTGCTTTTGCTGTGTCCCATAGGTTTTGGATCATTGTGTTTTCATTTTCATTTGTCTCTAGGTATTTTTTGATTTCCCCTTTGATTTCTTCAGTGATCCATTGGTTGTTTAGGAGCAGATTGTTTAGCCTTCATGTGTTTGTGTTTTTTGCAGTTTTTTTTTCTTATAGTTGATTCCTAGTTTCGTAGCATTGTGGTTGGAGAATTTTTTGAAAGCATAATCCAGTGAGAAATACTGGCATAGTAACAACAGATAAATTAAACTCTTAGTAAAGAACTACTACAGTAAGATTAGAATCTTACCTTTTAAGAAAAAAAAGAAAGCTGAAAGTACCTTGATGAAAGGAGGTATAAAAAATGGTTGGGGCATCTGGGATATAGCAACAAAATCAAAATGCATAAAGATGGTGAAAACTAAGTACTATGGCCATCTAAGACAAAACATGTAACCAAACTGAGCCAAAAGGAAGAAGGGGGGCGATATGGAGGGGGGTGGAGAAGAAGCAAAGTACAAAAGAGTATCTATGGCATGTTACTCTTCACATAGAAGGAGATGACCTAGAGGGGTGGGATAGGGAGGATGGGAGGAAGGCTCATGAGGGAGGGGATATGGGGACATATGTATGCATATGGCTGATTCACTTTGGTGTACAACAGAAACTAACACGGTATCGTGAAGCAATTATACTCCAATAAAAATCTATTAAGAAAAAAAGAAAATACGTATGTATCTTATTTGTGC